TAATAATGAATGCATTCAATATGATAGCACTGATGGGGTAAAATAGACTGAAGACATTGAATAAGGAGCTGATGAGGCTTGTTCAAATCATCAGTCCTGTTCCCCTAACCTTTCTGATTCTAACCCCTTCTGGACACGTACATTTGTAATGATGTTTGAAAGAACACAGATGTGAGAGAGTAGAGACTTCCGTTCTTGGACAAATTCTGTTCCTTCATCGGCTGTGCAACTGGTGAGCCACTTACTTCCTGTCTGGGGCTCCAGGAGAGTAGGGGGTTTGGTCCATCTCTCTAAGTCAGACTTCAGCATCTCTGAAACTCCACTGGCTACAAGTGGAAGCCATGTGGCACAGATGCATAGGCACTTGGACTGGCATAGAAAGATCTCTAAACCTGTGTAACCTGAGCTGTTACCTGTAAATATTCCATTCTCTAAAACCTCCTTTTGCTTAAAATGAGTGTATTCATTAATGTAACATTATGACAATTACCATACTGCTATATGGCTCATATCATTGTTCCTATTCTGTAGGGTCGCTATGAGTCAGAATTGAGTTGATGGCAATGGGTTTGGTTGTTTTTTCTTTTTTAATTGTTCTATAATTGAGGTATAGCACGTTTAATTGCCTGAAAATGTGAATTTGCTGTAGAATAATATTTCGCACAGAAAGGAAATGGTATAAATTACTTGAGGCAGAGAAGCCCAGAATCTATTATTCATGATGTCCTTCCCCCCACTTTTTTTTCAGGGGAGAGAAAAATTTTCACATATTTTACTATATTTATGCTGGTCTTTATCACCAAAAGAAACTTTCTGATTTCAGACTTCCTGAGGAAAAGCCTCCTAGGTAAGTCTCAGAGTTTTTAGTTGTAATTTTTAATGAATGTACAATCAGCAGTTGACAAATCAGAAACAAATGGAACTGCTTTCCTAACTGGAAGCCCATAGTTCAACTGAAATACCCAGAAAGAGGTGGCAGGAGCTACATGTCACCATTTGCGTTTTCTGTGGAAAGTTCAAAAACCCAGCTGCAGCTGTTTTACTGAGCCATACGCATATGGTTAAGCACTTGACTACTAACCAAAAGGTTGATGGTTTGAATCCACCCAAAGGTGCCTTGGAAGAAAGGCCGGGTGATTTACTTCA